GGGGGGGGCGTCAACGCTCTACAGCCCCAGCAGTGGCCGCATGGGAATGGCCGGACCCGCCAGGGACACTTCAAGTCCTTCGGAAACTCAGACCATGTTGATGTCACAGCTTCTGTTTCAGGCCATGATGACATCACAGCTTCTGTTTCAGGCCATGATGACATCACAGCTTCTGTTTCAGGCCATGATGACATCACAACTTCTGTTTCAGGCCATGATGACATCACAACTTCTGTTTCAGGCCATGATGACATCACAACTTCTGTTTCAGGCCATGATGACATCACAACTTCTGTTTCAGGCCATGATGACATCACAACTTCTGTGTCAGGCCATGATGACATCACAACTTCTGTTTCAGGCCATGATGATATCACAACTTCTGTGTCAGGCCATGATGACATCACAACTTCTGTTTCAGGCCAGGATGACATCACAACTTCTGTTTCAGGCCATGAGGACATCACAACTTTTGGCCCTCTCTACGTTGGCAATCTTGTGTTTTCTTTTGTCGTGAGAAAAGACTCAGCAGTTAAAATCACAATATTGTTTTCTTTTCTCCTTTTCTTTACAGTTTTTTCTATACTTTACAATCACCATAAAACCATTCTAGTATACATTATATCTTTATTACACAGATGATCCTTCCTGACCCCTCATCTTAGTGCCTTATGATCTTTGGCTTTAATTCTATGACCAGCATCAATACGCACAATAAAAACTTTTTAGTGTCAAACTCCTTCATATTGAAGTCTGCACAAAGCACAGCAAGCAAAGTCTTTGCATCTTTCAATTGTTTTATCTTTTTTAAAGGGCAGCTAAAGTCACCAAGTTTCTAGAATTGCCACACCAGTTAATTTTACATTGAAAGTAGCTCCAGGCAGTGTCCGAAAGGTCGGTTGAGCTACAGAGTTTACTTGTGAGCAATATGGACACTTTGGTGAAAGCATGGGTAAAGGCAAACTTGTTCATTCTTCAGGTCTAGATCTCCAACTACAATCAATTAATCAAACCAATATGTTACATGTTGGTGCTGGTTGCTCTGTTGTAAGCCTTCTTCGCGGGACCTTTAAGCGACTCTTGTACAGCACCGTACACAGGCAGCATGTTCTTCTCGGCCTCCTGTCCGCTCCTGTAGTGAGTTTCTACCTTCTCCCGATCCACCGGCTGCTGCTTACAGTACAGGACGGTCAGGCGGTAATGAGCATCTGGTACATACGCGTCGCAAGGAGGCACTACACGTAGGTACTGGTGGAACTGCTGAATGCCTTCTGACCTTGACACCTTCATGGAACACACAGCGGTGTAGTACAAGGTGGGTGGGTAATCACACTTGTACATCAGCGCTGTGGCGAAGGCAGCAAGGGCAGGGCCAGGCTGGTCGGTGGACATGGAAACTGCCAGCATGCAGGAGATGTGATGGAGGTACGGGTGGAGCGGGTCTTCCTCGCCGTTCTGTAGGATGGTGTTCATGGTCTGACGGAGACGTTCAACACGACTGTCTCCCCAAGGCAGCAGCGCCGCCTGTAGGAACAGGCAGGAACTGTCGGCCGGGCTGTGCTCCAGCTGGGTGGATGTTAAATGATTCAGTCGCTTCTTGTCCAACTGGAGACAATCAGGGTCGTAAAGGAGATAATTACAATGTTCAGCATGGAGAAGTTCCCACAGGATGATTCCCTCCGCCAGCAGGGTGAGTCCGGCTGGATCTGTGTAGCCACTGCTGGTCAGCAGCTCGGCTCCCCTCTCCATGGATTTGCATGCCTGTATGATACTCTGGGCTGTAGGGGAATCCTGGTACGGCTGCAGACGGAGGCGGATCCACCTGAGAGGCCCCTCGGGCACGTCTTCTGACGACACTCCGGACTGAGCGGACACAGAGGCCGTCTCGATACCAGACTCACTTTCAGGCAGGAGTGTCGTGGTGGGATGGAAACTCTGAAGATAACGCAAGGCATGAAGTAGTGTTTAAACCTCTTCTACAGCAAGACCTATTACTTAAAAACACTACAATTGTAAGTCTATCCATTGCAGCTGCCATTACTAGAGGACAAAAAACTTAGTTCTTCTATAATTTTCGATCATATTACAGCAATATATGTTACATGTACTTGATCACAAGAATACTAGTAGATAAGCCGAAAGGAAAAAGCATTAAAGGCATTCGAGAACAACTGCTACTTACCACGTCTTGGATCCTCATCCTCCTGAACATCTCAGCCACCCCCGGGTCCACCCTCCCCGCCCGTTCCTCCTCCTCCTCCCGACCCGGCACCTGGCTCCTCTCCAGGATGACCTTGAGCTCACCTTGGAACCCCAGCGTCTTGAACTCCACCTTCAGACGCGTCTGGATGTACTCCTGGTCGTACAGCGCGCTGAAGAAGTCGTAGCCGTCCTCGGTACGGAAGCCGACATGCACGTAGAGCGAGCCCTCTTCGATGGCCACGACTTCCGGATCCGGCTGCAGTTCCCCTCCATCCCGCCGGGGGCGTCTCTTGAGGCGTTCGATGACGCGCCTGATGATGTCATCCACGTCATCCCTGTTGTCTCGGTAAAAGCGGGACAGCGCCAGGGCCAGCCCGACAGCCGAGGCCCCGACCACCACACCGGCAGCGATCCGGGGGTCTGTGATCTTCAGGGTGACTCCGCCCCAGAAACCGTTAGCCGAGAAGTCGATAACGGGCGCCGCCTGGCGGGCCGCACCTGCAACTGCACCTGCAGCGCCCTCTGTCGCTTGAACTGCAGCTGCTGCCATCTGTTCCGCCATTGAGGGTCACTGCAGAAGGGGTTTATATTGATAAGTGTAGAACGAAAACGACTGCAGAGGGGAATCGTTATGAAACAGTACTGTGTATTTTGAAACTTTGAGAGCTGTCAAATACCTCTCACTTGGGCCAAAGACGGCCAACAAACGAAGACCATGTACGTTCCTTTAGATAATCTGTACTTTGTGCCATATACTAGTAAACTCTGTTAATCGAATGTATACGATCTTAAAACACTAGGCTGCTAAGTCTAGTTAGCTTAATGATTCTATCAAAATCTGTACGACAGGTAATAGTATTGTAATGTGAACAAGAGGCTACACGCCCATGAAGAAAGCTCGTAGTTGGCGTCGGCTCAGATTTCCTTCTCTTTGTTCTACCCCTTCTCGCCGTTACTGGGTAATGTAAACAATCCTCATTCTTTGGCATTGATGGTGGTCAACAACAGGGGTAGTGGTAACCATTTCGGCAGTTCACAAGTAACGGAGTGGAGACTTGCGTTCAAACAAACCTGCTTGTCTGACCGAAAGAATCTGCAAGGTGATTTGAAAATGCCTCGTGGCTTACTCGGTGGTTTCTTTGATGGTAATAGATCATTGGTTAAAGTTGAAATTCTTCCCACACCTGTCAATATGTATGAAGGGCGATGCCAAGCTCTGCCTCTATAGCCCTTGTTCAAAGTTAACCAAGGATCTATGATCACAGAATAAACCACCGAGTGAGCGACGTAGCATTATTGAATCACCTGGCAGATACCTTGAGTTTGACAAATGAGGTTTGAACACAAGTCTCCGATCCATTACTCATGAACCACCTATATGTTTATCACTACCCCTGTTGTTGACCACCATCGATGCCAAAGAATGGGGATTGTTTACATTACCCAGTAACGGCGAGAAGGGGTAGAACAAAGAGAAGGAAATCTGAGCCGACGCCAACCATGAGCTTACTTCATGGACGTGTAGCCTCATGTGAACTACCATTAATCCTACATCATTATCTGCTCTACTGCCTTAGATAGAATCATACGGTGAACTATTCTTTGCAAACTGATGTTTTAACATCGTACATATTCAACGAAGTTACAACATAGTGACTACAAGTAGGCATAAGTATAATCAGATCTCATATAGCACAAAGTGCGGAGACTACCACCGTAAGAATGTATGTTGTACACTATCACAATGACAAGCTGAGTCTTAATATTTGATGAAAACGTCTTATTTTCACCCCAAAGTTGAAGAGACAGCCGTCATGGTTCGAATTTTAAAACTTTTATGGCTCTGTTGCCACAACAGGCATTAGTTCTATCATGGACTCACCTGATCATGTTACACTTCACCTGAACTTGGGCTACATTTTACAACCTTGACTTAGGTAAAATACGATATATTCTAGATTAAGCCTTTCTGCAGACCTTCCAACAGCATGTACTAGTGATATGCAAAAGAAAGTTACCACAAAACGACAAGTTGTACCTGGTTTTTGTGTGAGGCGAACCTTGGTACAGAACAGGTGTGTCGTGGCCGCGGGGGAGATTTCAGTAGAGATCACGTGACCGGGAAGTTCAAAGGTCCCGAATAGCGGGCTGTTTAAGGTTCCGGGTCGGAGTTTAATTCTGACCAGAGTCTAAGTAAGTGCGCAGTAAATCGCCGGAAACGTGACTTTGTATGGTATGTTTTGGCCGCGATATCCCTGAAATCGTAATATCTGTGTACATATCTTTGTATTTTCTGAAAAGCCTGTTAGTTGTAGCCTTTATAGGTGGCGTAATGTTGGTGGTCCAGCTAAGACTTCCTGGTATTCGTCCGCGCGGATGGTTATGTGGCCTTTTCGCCTGACCGCCGGGATGGTACGTTCTATATGCGTTCTGGGTGTGTTCGGGCCATCGAAGATAGCGATAAACTTATCGCATCGATTTTAATTAAATTCAAATTTTGGAAACATTAGGTTCTGAGCTTCTTCGAGTACTAAGCCGTTACCCTGGGAAAATTCGTTTTTTCCATGCAGCCATGGTTAAAAATGACGAAAAAAATGACCCCTTTTTTCAAAATGTACTTTGATGTGCCTCATTTACCCCTAAATAAATTGGGCGCAGAAAATATCAATCAAGTGTATTGATAAGCGGCACGGCACCCCTTTCCACCAAAAGAGTGAAAAATTCCGACCCGCGTTTAGTACAGAAATGACAGCCCGTCGGGCTGAGGGTGTCAAATTGCTCGAAATACGGAGGGAAACTCCGGTCCGAGACCTTAAACAACAGAGCAACAGTCTCGAACAAGGGGGGGGGGCATTTGAACAAGACGAGAAGCCATGGCACGGTCGTAACGCCAGGATCAAATCAATCGCATTTACACGAGGGCCTGCATGGGGGGGGGGGGGGGGCGACAACGCTCTGCGCTAAATTTCCGACAGTCGGCTACGTACTAGCATTACGCTGAATTCAGGAAGCGTCCCCATTACGTTTCACGATAAATTGTGGGTAGCTATAACGCATCACGTAGAATCAAAACGGCGAATTACGCTCTACGCAAAATGCGCCAATTACGCTCTTCGTTGAATTAGAGCGATCCGTGTACGCTCTACCATATAACGCTCTACGGAAAAGGGCATTAGATTTGACCCATAGTAAGGCAATTAATGGTCAGCATGAAATGCCCCAACACCTCAAAACACACAGAAAAAATAAAGCTGTTCAACGTCAACAGGATACCTTCCTGTGCTGTGCAACCTGGGAGATTCCAACCCCCACCAGTCGCAATGCATCCTGGGCATGTGAAACGGTCAATGGCGCGGCACCGTGGGCAGTGAAGACCGCCGAATGACCGCACTTCAACCCCAAGTGGCGGGAAAACTCTACCTGGCGGTAATGGTGCAGTGTACGTTCGCATTGCCGTCTGTCAGAGCTGTCAATCATCAACGAGACCGGCTACACCAAAGCTTCTCGATAACGAGAATGATGAGGTGCTGGATAATAGGCTTCAGGTGACACAAATCAACCAAAGTAACAGAAAACGTGGCAAAACATATATTGAATGAATGAATGAATCGGTTTTGCATATTCCTGCCCAAATAGGCTATATACTATGTACAATCCATCATCTACTGTTAATCATCGTTCCTTTTCTCTTTTTGAAACACCTGGAAACAACAAGAACAGGCGCAACAACTAAAATCGCAACATTGTTCTCTTTTCTCTTTTTTCATTTCCTGTTTCTTTTGCGCTCTACAATCACCACAACCCACTGTAGTGTTTATTATATTTCTATTACATAGATGATCCTTCGTGATCCCTCATCGCATTGTCCTATAATCTTGGCCTTCATTCTATAACAAGCATCATTAAACAGAATAAACGTATGGAAGTCTACACAAAGCGCAGTAAGCAAAGTCTCCAAAGTTGCCACACCAGTTAATGTTGCATTTTGTAGCTCCAAACAGTGTCTGAATGGTCTCTTTAGTTAATGTTTGTCTGTGGGCACAGTGTGGACACAGTGGTGAAAGCGTGGCTAATTAATAAAAACTAGAGTTGTTCACTCTCCAGGTCTCCTACTACAATCAACTCATCTGTCCTGCCTGAGAAGTCATCAAGCCGAAATGTTACGTGTTGGTGCTGGTTGCTCTGTGGTAAGCTTTCTTCGCGGCATCTTTAAGCCACCCTGCCACACCGATCCCAGGCAGCATGTTCTTCTCGGCCTCCTGTCCGCTCCTGTAGTGAGTTTCCACCTTCTCCCGATCCACCGGCTGCTGCTCTCCGTACAGGGCAGTCAGGCGGTAATGAGCATGTGACACATCTTCGTCGCAAGGAGGCGCTGCACGCAGGTACTGGTGGAACTGCTGAATGCCGTCTGAGGCTGACACATCTACGGAACACATGGCGGTCCAGAACAAGGTGCGCACTGGGCAATCAGACTTGTACATCAGCGCTGTGGCGAAGGCAGCAAGTGCAGGGCCAGGCTGGTGGGTGGCAATCCATATGGAAAATGCCAGCATGCAGGAGATGTTATGGAGGTACGGGTGGAGCGGGTCTTCCTCGCCGTTCTGTAGGATGGTGTTCACGGTCTGACGGAGACGTGCAACACGGCTGTCTCCCTCAGGCAGCAGCGCCGCCTGTAGGAACAGGCAGGAACTGTCGGCCGGGTTGTGCTCCAGCTGGGTGGATGTTAAATGATTCAGTTGCTTCTTGTCCAATTGGAGATAACTTAAGTGGTAAAGGAAACGATTACAATGGTCAGAATAGAGACGATGCCACATGATGATCCCCTTCACCAGCAGGGTGAGTCCGGCTGGATCTGTGTACCCACTGCCGGTCAGCAGCTCGGCTCCATTCTCCGCGGTTCTGCTGCCCTGGATGAGACGCTTGGCTGTAGGGGAATCCCGGTACGGCTGCAGACGGAGACGGCGCCGCCTGAGAGGCCCATCGGGCACGTCTTCTGACGACACTTCGGACTGAGCGTACCCGGAGGCCGTCTCGATACCAGACTCACTTTCAGGCAGGAGTGTGGAGGGATGGAAACTCTGAGGGAGGGAAAAACAACCGCAGACTATGTATTAGTATACATAGTATGCATTGAGTATACATATAAATAAATATCGTTTGAATGCTTAACCTGTACAAAATGAATGAATACGAAAAGCAACGATTTGCTACTCACCACGTCTTGGATCCTCATCCTCCTGAACATCTCTGCCACCCCCGGGTCCACCCTCCCCGCCCGTTCCTCCTCCTCCCGACCGGGCACCTGGCTCCTCTCCAGGATGACCTTGAGCTCACCTTGGAACCCCAGCGTCTTGAACTCCGCCTTCAGACGCGTCTGGATGTACTCCTGGTCGTACAGCGCGCTGAAGAAGTCGTAGCCGTCCTCGGTACGGAACCCGACGTGCACGTAGAGCGAGCCCTCCTCGATGGCCACGATTTCCGGATCCGGCTGCGGTTCCCCTCCATCCCGCCGGGGGCGCCTTCTCCGCCTTCTGCGCCGTTCGATAACGTCTCTTATGGCGTCATCAGCATCGTCCCTGTTGTCTCGGTAGAAGCGGGACAGCGCCAGGGCCAGCCCGACAGCCGAGGCCCCGACCACAATACCGGCAGCGATCCGTGGGTCTGTGATCTTCAGGGTGACGCCGCCCCAGAAGCCGTTAGCCGAGAAGTCGATAACGGGGGCCGCCTGGCGGGCCGCACCTGCAACTGCACCTGCAGCGCCCTCTAGCGCCTGAGCTGCACCTGCTGCTGCTTCAGCCATGTTTGGTGATGGGGTACTGTGGAAAAGACATTACTGGTTGAGGAAAATCAATTTAAGTTACACCATTCTACTCTAATTCTTTTTTTTTTAGATATTTAGCTTTTACTCGGATTTTGTTGAATTTTTGAGAAGCTGTTTGACACTTTCATCGGACAAGTAACCATTGTTTATAGTACAGATTCAAATCCATTCTATTAGTAGCTTTTTTATCTACAGTAAACGTTTGTTTGGACTTTGCACCTCCGCCGGCCAGACGTTTGCACATTTATCGATCGATGGTCACGGGACATTTTTGTTCTGAGGGGCGTATCAGGGCGTTTTGCAAGGGTCGACTGTATATAAGTGTTGAAAAGAAGCTTTTTCATGCTGATGAGAAAACGTCATGTAGACCAGATACAAGCTATACATGTATTTTATAGTCTGGCTCATTCTTTAAAAAAATTCAGAACATGAAGCTCGACAGCAAAGAAAAACACTTGTGTCAAAGCTTGAAGCAGGGTTGCATCATAGTGAAACCCATACGGAGATGAATTCTTTAAGTGTAACTACGAAGAACAAAGACACGCAGAAGACCTAATAGTCCTGTTCTAAAACCAACACTACTTCTATACGAGATCCTTAGGACTACGTTGAACAGAAATATGTTAGTTCACTGTGGAAATTGTAGGAGAAAATTACCTTTTTGTCAGCTGTAGACGAGACGTTGCAAAGTTTTGCGGTGAGTCACTCCACTGTCGCGTGATGTTTGAAGTTCGAAGGTCAACAGGCAGTAAAGGTGATTGGATAGCGCAGGTACAGGGGTAGGGAGAGGGTTAATCATGAAGGGAACTGGCTAGGGTTACTCCAGGGCAGCAAACCATAGAGTGCAGAAACTATGTTTATGGCGGGGTGGTAGGGCGCTTACCACTCATGGCGAAAATAGCGACATTTTGACACGGACATATTTGACATAGAATGAGTGTTGCCATTGAGAAAATAACCTTATTTTCACCACATATACAAGACGTTCTTGCTTTAGCCCTGATGCACTTGGATATCAGTTCATTAGTAAGAACGACAAAAGCAAACATACATTTTCCCATCATCAAAAACTGTTGGAGAAAGGATCAGGAATACCACCATGCAGGACAACCTCACTGGTGAGCGGTTAGATTACAAAATGGACTTCATCGCCCACAATATCCGTGTCACACCGACTGGAAATGGGGGCAACTGAAGACAGGAGCTCAAGCAAAGACAACCAGGATAATTCAGTACTCTGTAAGGCATTGGCATCCATGAGAAGTGGCCATCGAGCCCATTCTGAGTAGTTCAAGGTTCAAGAAAGCCATAATAACAACAACACGGCATAACATTATGGTTAGACTGCCTACCAAGAGGCTGTGGGTTCGAAACTGACATGTCCCGATATTATGCCCTTGCAAAAGGCAGTTAACACCGATTTTCTCCCTCTGGTGAAAATAAGTACTTGGAATGACCTTCTCTGATGACCAGAACAAAAAACATTCCACTATTCGTTTTCCATAAGGGATCAAGAGAAAAAAGATTTCCTGAATGTCAAAGATTACAAATTACGCTTTACAAGCTCAAAGCAGATTACAAAAGATAGTGACTAATCCAGGAAGTGGGCAGAAAGGATAAGTCGGCTCATCCAACGCTATATGAAGATTGAGAAAAGGCTGGGATTATTTAGATATTAAGACAAACCCGCATATAGATCAGATTAGCAGAATTGGTTTTCCATTTTTAGAATGGTTCTGAGAAGGGATAGAACAGGTAGTGACAACACAACAACGAAAATGCAGTTTTTTCTTGTTGTCCACAATGTATATATTTTTTTCTCTCTTTTTGTGGATCTTTATATGTAAAAAGGCATTATATCTTTTATGAATTGTTCTCTGAGATACAAAAGAACTCGCATGTAGATCTGTAGCGCTTAGGTAGTATTTATAGCAAAATATCCGATTAAGTTATGGTGGTGTGATATTCAGGACTCGGCTAAAGAACTTATATTTAGATATAATATTTCTTGATACGATTACTACAATTACAAATTGATTTCAATCCTATACTAGTTGCATCTATACGAAAAAAAAGAGTGATTAGCCAAATTGAGTGCAGATACATAATCCTGTCTACCAGATATAAGACAAGACCTGGACTGACCACCGTTCAGGACAGGCCGGCATATCGGTGGTCTGATTCCTAGTGTAGGAAACGGGTGCGCGGTGCGCGGACGAGGAACGTGCGATGTGCTCAGCTCTGCAAGAGGAGTCTTCCTAGTTTCTTTACAAAGGTAGGCTGGTCTTTTCGACCGTTTCAAAGCACTATGTGTTGACAATCATAGTTACTATTCAAACGTTGTCTGGTAATATTTGAACAGAATTCTAGAATTCTAAGTGCAGACACTTAAGATGCTCTACGGTAAGAATATTGGCTCTGCCCTTAGTGCTGAAATGACTGTTATGCGAACCTTCATAGATTCTATCTGCTTATCTACAGATAAAGTAAATAAAGGGGAGAACGAAGCAGAGGGAGAAAGATATGCTGCAATTCTTCATTTCAACTATGAAGTTTGGGCAATTCTTAGAACGGCATAAACTTTGCCGAAAAAGGCAAGCATTCCAACCATGAACATTTCCTCCACCAGACGCGACCAGACCATTTCCTCCAACCAGACGCGAAGAGCCTGACGTCATCATGAACGTCAACTGCACGAACGAGACGGAGCACGTGGTGCACCCTGGGAAGGCTGGTTCCGCCATTTTCCTGTCCAGGTATGTTCTATGTCAAGGTCAACAGTTGATTGAACAATAAAATTGTGACAAAATCGTAATTTTACATTTTTACTTCAATAGATTTATATTGTAAACGGAGTTTTTGACTCTACCATGTAACATGTACCAGTCGCAATTTTACTGATAGACAATTTTACTAAATTATCAGTGATTTGTAAAATGACAAAAGTAGTTTCGAGCCTTTTCACGGTGACTTCAAACGGAGTGGAAGCTTGCTGCCCTATATGCCATCAGGCATATTAGGAGGAACTAAGGTCTATTAAAGGTAAGTTAAAACGGCAACTCTCCCGCTAAGTCTTGTTGTGTCCACTTTCCAACAGTTTCACGTCATTGTCTAACGCGGCAGTGATCGCCATAGTGGGGCTGCGGATCGGGAAGAACAACAACGTCCCGCTGATTCTGGTGCTGGCGCTGGCCTGTACGGACCTCGGCACGGCGTGTGAGTACCATGGGATGGAATTTATCTATTTGCACACAAACATACGAGGGTGAAAGATGCAAATGTATGTGTAGGGGAGGTCTGAAATGAAGCAGACGTTGAAACAACGAGAACAGGTTGCGTATTGTAATAGCGGTCTGCTGCATTGTGTCTGCAGATGGTGGCTGTCCTTGGTGCTGAAACATCCCCCGTTTGGCAAAGCACAGACTAGATGCACTAAACTGTCCCAATGCAGTTCTGCCTGAACAGGGCCCACCCTCACATACCAAATTTGGCCCAACGGTCCTTTTATTTGCGAGTAACTCTTAACCTGGTGTCTTTCAGTTCCCAGCCTTGTTAGTTGGTGACTCTACGTATACACAAATGTTGGCGCCACACTACAGCAAAGGAACTATATCTCTATATCTTTAAAACTGAAGCGAGTTCTAAAGTCGGTGTTTGTATGTTTTTCTCTCGCTGTGCGCAGTTTTCGACTTCATCCCGGCCACCATCACGTACTTCGTGGGTTTCTGTAAGAACGGCGGGCAGCCCATGTGCTTCTTCCACGGCTTCGTGCACACCTTCCTGCTCACCACCTCGCACTGCATCGTGGTGCTGATGGCGCTGGAGCGGTTCGTGGCGCTCTGCTACCCCTTCCGCTACAACAAGCTGGTCACCAACAGGAAGGCCAGTCTGGTCCTGCTGGGCTGCTGCGTCTATGCTGTGAGTTACACGTGCTCTATTTAACACTGTTATTTGATTTTGGTAAACCGAATAATCTTTAAACCCAAAATATTCATGTAACTATACAACTTATACTGGAAATAAAGACACTGCCATGTAGACGGAAATATGTGTTCTACATGGCACTTAGGAAGTGGGTAGTTGGTTATCTGTGGGGCTTGTCTGTTTTCATGATGAAAAAATGCAATACATAAAATTGGGACAATAATTTCAGCACCACGGAGAAAACCAATGTTGATACAACCGATCTTTACCAGCGCAGAAAAGTGATCATAGGAACGAAATACCTGTAGATACCTGTAGATACCTGATCATAGAAAAACCTGTAAACACTTTACATAGCGTCTGCCTTCTCTGTCAGAACTTCAATGAGCTAAAACTTGGTAAAATTTCCCTCCTCCAGGTGATTTTCGCGGTGCTGCCCCTGCTGGGGTTTAACCGGGTGGTGGCTCACTTCGGCGCGATCTGTTTCTACGACTGGTACGACCGCAGCACGCTGGGCAGCATCTACATCTACTGGTACTGCATTCAAGGTGCGTACACAGTTACTGTATACCGCCACTCATGCTTTCCTAGCTCACAGCAATGTCTTACACATGTCTCGCTGGCAGGGGTTAATTCCACCCCCCACCCCCCTTTCAGGAGGACCTCTAGGAGCGTGATGTTGTCAGGCTAAGAAAAGTCAGTCTTTTATACAAATACACGTTTCCTTTTTCCCCAACAAAGGTACTACTATCTGTGTCGGAATCTATATAGTCTTCGGTATAACACAGCAGCTTCGCAGGCACACGGCGCGTCGGCGGCTGGCAATATTACACCGGCCTGCCAAATTTATCTTTTACACATGCATCTAACTGTAAGCGTTGTTTAAAACTACATGTACGTGTATCTAGTGATCATTCTTCAATTCTACATGGTGGCAGCAAATTCTACTGTATGTTAGTTCACTGGTTATTCTCTGAGCTGATACTAGATACTTCCACATGTTTATTAGTCATTTTGTACACAACGCAGGTTTCCTGCTGATCGCGACCCTGGTGTTCTGTAACATGGTGGTGGTTCGGGAACTCCGCCGCATGCAGAAGCGCATGCCGAACGCAGCTGGGGCCGCTCCGGACCCCTCACTCACCAAACACCGCGAGTTTACCGCTTATATGGTGGTGGCTTCCGTCATCTTCACTGTCTGCATGACCCCACTTACAGTAAGGAAATGTTATGTATCCAAACGTCGAACTTCTTCTATGAATCTATACTTACTGCCATCAGTAAGAACAGATTCATAGATTCAAAGATCCATGTCTTCTGTGGTCAGATTGTCAATACAAAAATTCTTTTTTTAGATGTATATATGATGCTGTATGTATAGTTTGTGTTTCTATGTTTGTATCGTTGTTTTCTAATTGTACGAGTGAAATACCTGACATAAAGACATTCAAAGGGAGAGGGAGGTGTATGCAATGTTCAAGTTTAAAACGTAGCATCTCTCCGGTACCCTCTTTGAATGGACTGCACATTAAGTCCGGTCTTAAGCTTGTTGCAACCTGTGCAAGACCATATGCGTGCTTTGGGTGGCATAAGTTGCACTGACATACATTTCTATCAACATGCATATTTACTTTTAGTACCGTTGCGGGCTTTTCTGTTTCTGTGTGTTTCTGACATACTAGGAAAACGTCTGCATGACTCCGTAAGAAATTGTTTCCTCTTATTTTCTTACAATGTAGTTTGGATATCTGTTCACCATAAGTTAGAGACACTGGTGTCGCAGGGACTGCATTAGTGTCCGCTATGAGGGATAGGACATACTGGAGTAACTTTATCAAGTGTACCTCACCGGATTTATAATCCGGAGGCATGGTGATAAGTTAGTAGTGGTTGGTAAATTAATAGGAAGCAGAGATGTATGTTATCTACAAGCAGATGCAGGCGCGCAGAGCTAAAACGCTTCTTGCTAGCAAAACGCCCAAATGCCGCAAAAAACAGGAGTAAATGCACTTGGTAGGAGCTTAAAGTGCCTGAGCTCTCCGGCGTCTGGCCCGAACAGCCTCAGAGTTTGAACGATGCATGTTACTGTTAAAGGTTGCAGTCCCCATCAAGGGGCGTTATGCCGTGGTTCACTGTTCATGGTTACATAAAAATTTTCCTGGTTACATTGAACCTGTATATACTGGACACAGCGTCTTCCCTCGTCGCATCCAGTACAAGACAGTGCTTAGGGAAGCTTTTTGCTAACAACATACATATATTTTCATTGCAATGCATGATTTTGTGTGTCTTAAGCCTATTTCCCGCCTTCAGATCCGCACCCTGTGTAACCATCTCGGCGTGCTGCCCAGCCCCAACATGGACTACTTGTCCGTGCGGATGCACATCATCAACAGCGTGATCAACCCTCACCTGTTCTGGATGTTCCGCGCCTCCGCCAGACAGCGCATCTGGGAGCTCATCAAACGGTAATAATAATAATAATGATAACCGTAAATTAGTAGCAAAGTACTCAAGCCAAATCAGTGTGATGTCAGTATATGTCTTCGCACAGTCCGATCTATTGCCGACTATTTGCTAAAAAGAATAAATACCAATGGAAGCCAAGCATCGGAATAAATAGGGAGGTCCGGGTTTTACAAATTTGAATTTCAGTTTACGAAATCTCCTTAAATTGACCATCTTACTAAGAAGGATCCGATTGCCTCAGCTCAGCTAACAGGGATTTCCTAAATAAAGCTTTTATAATAGAGTTGATTATTCTGAGTGCCACAATCTAACTACGCTAGATCATCTCCTGCTACAAATCTTACCAGACTAGATTATCCCCTGCATGGTACCAATCTTACCAGGCTGATTATTCTTGCTATCTCTAACACTTGTCCTAAACCCCACAGGATTGGCTGCTGCTGCCGCCCTGGCGAAGGGGAGCACATGCAGCTCTTCAACCTGTCATCCTCTGGTGGAACTGCATCTGAGCAAAACAGGAACAACTCAGCCTCTGCCGACCCCAGCAAGACCAACTCAGCCTCTGCCGACCCCAGCAAGACCAACTCAGCCTCTGCCGACCCCAGCAAGACCAACTCAGCCTCTGCCGATCCCAGCAAGACCAACTCAGCCTCTGCCGATCCCAGCAAGACCAACTCAGCCTCTGCCGATGACAAGGCCAGGGTCTACAAGCCTGAGAGTGATGATGGCCCTCAGACAGCCTAGACGAATTGCTACATCTACAAGCTTGCTACATCTACCACAAGCCTGCTACATCTACAAGCTTGCTACATCTACAAGCTTGCTACATCAACAATCTTGCCTATAAACCACTCTGTCCACACTCGTGTTGTTTACTAAATGCACTTTGTAACATTGAATTTTCCATTTCATATGTGAATAAAAAGATGCGTTGTGATATCAAGAGCATTTTTAGACTTTAGGTATTTATGATAAGGTACCATGTGCAATGTGTCGAAATTAGGGCATTAGGTCATTGAGGCTAAATGTAGGAACGTTGATGAATGTTAGACATCCAGGTAAACAATACTCTACGAATGGATCAATGATTACGTAGATAATTTCCGGACTTTTCGAGTGACACAGTGATCAGTTACAGAGATAATTTCCGGACTTTTGGAGTGTCCGGAAATTATGTCAGTAAGTGATCCAGTAGTACAGTTTGAATTTCCTACGAGTAACGGACCCTTTGGTATCGACCAATAGTAGTGCGCTTAGAAGTATCACAATTACTTGGCACTGTTGATATGGGACAGAAAAGCGCAATATTCTGATATTTGGATTCAGATTACTGTAACGAAAAGTCCATATTCTGCGTAATGCCACACTCCACCCAGGTGTGAATGGGTACCTAATTTCGGTTGGAGAAAGTCGTATTGAGGTCACCTTGTGGCGCCGAATGTCAGCCGCACAGACCCTTGCAACAGTTCCACAAGTGTTATATATATATATATCAATACAAATATGTTATATGTATCATGTTGATTGTAAACCCCGCATCAATTCAGTGCTATAAAATGCTGCGATTGTACGGGTAATGTTTGACCAATAAACCATGTTATCATTATTATTGTTATTATTATTATGGTGTAAAGTTGTTCATGTTCTTGTGAAACTCTTGTTCAAAGATGCACAGATAGCAAATGCGATTAAATGATAGACTAACATCATTTTCCACTCAGTGACAAGTATAACTGTGATAGGTCTTGATATAAAAACCAGTTGTTCATAACCTTTGGGTCAATGTGCAAGGTTTTCATGCTACTAGCATATTGTGGCTGTACCTTCTATTTACTTGTGGGTCTTGATTGTTGTACATGTACATGTACAGTATTTCCATTTCTTGTTGATATTCTGTGCAATTCTTCATCTTTTACCAAGCTGTATACATGCAAGTCTGTAGATTTAGTTTTGAAACAGAAAGTACATGAGTTAAGTGTCTTCTGGAGAATACAAATAGAGTACAGTTGAGTAACAATTTACTTCAACTGTGTAAATACAGTATCCAACTGTGAATATTTTTGTGTTGATAGTGGTACTTCTTAATAATGTTATCAAAAATGATTGGTGTGATGGTACATTCAACTGTATTGTGTTTAATATGTATTATTTCAATGAAATAAAAATGATGAAATGAAGCATTTGGCATGTTCTGACATTTTACTTGTGTTGAGAGAACTTGATAGACATACATGTTTGTGTTGCAATTTGATAGCCTTATGTACAGAACAGTCACTATGCAGAATCCCCAAGCACAATGTACCAAAATATCTACACATGTTCAGCCTGGTTCTGCCTTTCTCTAACTTTTTTCTCATATCAATGTTGTTACCATCGATCAACTCTTAACCACTGAAATCTTAGCTTTCAGTCAAGACCTCAACATATCCTCCTGTTGTCCTTTATAGCACAAACCATACTCTTCTTGCTTTCTTTTCTTACTTAGTAAACAATTTCTTGACAATAAATAGAAAAAATGTTCTTGCTTTATATACAAAGCAAAACACACCACAGTTCAATAAAGAAAAAGGCATCAACATTCTCAAAAAGTCCTTTTGCTGGCTGTTTGACTGTTTTCTGCAACACAATTCTGAAACCTTGTGATTTCTCAAAAATGGCTGCCATATAAGTTACTTCTGATACAAACGTGTACCTGTGTATTGGTATTGTATATTATTGATAACATATCTACAATATTCTTCACAGAGAAGCATCCATTTGGATAATGTCTGTACTGTATCTATTCAAGTAATAAAGTGTGACCATTGCTGGTGTAGATTTTTCTTACTTTGTGGCATGTCTATTGTGAATTCAACAATTTAATTTCAATTCCTTATGACTATACTCTAGTGTTGACCAATACAATGTGTAAAAAATATTCCAATTTTTTTGCTAAGGAGTTTTCAACATTTACAACTAGCTCACACAAAAATGGATGAAAAAAAGGGGAAAACTACACACAAAGTTGGGTTTCTTTCCAAAGGAATTATCTTTAGGAAACAGTGTATACTCCATCAGAGAATGGTCTCCATGAGAAATGTACATTTTTTTCAATGTATGGACATGCAAACTGTTTTCATTGACTTACTTGTACCTTATTTACAGAGTCAATCTAAATCTAAATCTACACTTAACTAACTAACTATAGGGGACTTATGCACCTATCAATGTTCACCCAAAGGGGAAATACTCAGATAAGGAAGGGACTTCTTGCACGCACAAACGTGTTTGCCAATTTTGCTTGTAGCCCCTCAGCCAAAATAAAATAAATGTTTTTCCAAGTGGCTTTGACTAGTTCATACAGCTGGTTCATACATATCTCAAGTATCGTAAGAAATAAAAGTTTATTCTTAACCTTAATCAGCATCATTTGCTGGATATATAGACACTTTTTCATCTTGCAATGAAAACAAAACCTTGTTTTTTTGTCCACAAAATACATGTACCTGAATTGGGCTCAACTGTGCTGGCTAGTCAGTCACCACTTTGCAGGGTTGCAGAGCCCCCTAGGGATCACATTGAAAAGTGCAGTTCTACTAGCAAGGGGCTGGCAGTGTAACAAACACTCTGTACATACATTTGTAGACACACTAGACTGTACATGTCGCTTCTTACAAAAGTAAGTGGCATCTCTAATTTCTTGAGTACTGTAACAGTTGTACTAACCGACATTGTAAGATTTATATTGTAATATTTGGTATATCTCATCTATGTGTTTTCTATTCGTTAATTGTCTAATTGTAGGTATTATTTTACAGCTACATTGTACATGCATATGAAGACCTCTTGCACTGTTCAAATGTATGGTGATAGTTTGGTATTCTTTGAGCCTGCCAAATGTTGACCTGAAAACCTACTAAGAAATGGTGGTAACCAACACTTGGTGGAGTGTCCATTTCTATATTTTCCCACAGCAGCAGGAAACCCAATCTTCGCAGGGTTTGCAGCACTACTCTAGCTGTAGAAGCACCCCCTAGTAACATGGCTTGGAACTGCAAGCATGCCCACCAAGGCAAACTTGGACCAAGGAGAAAGAGTGTCCATTTTGTTGCCATGTGTGGTTGTTTACATTCTGAAGAATGTTTTTTTACCAACCTGAATTCACCTGACAACTTGTCTTGCAATATTCAAGAAAAATCATTAGAAAATCATAAAAGAAGTATTCTCATACAACAATTCTCACAGCTTTCACTGTCAACGTCAATAATATAATATTAGTATGTAGTATATACCATATTTTTTTTCTGTTGGAAAGCAGAGGAAACATGTGCATCACGTGCAGCAGCATGAAGAACATACAGGCAGATACCAGACATCACCATACATAACATAACAGTGCAGAAGGTTTAACTACAGCAGCCACTTCACTACACATACAAAGTCTAGATTGCTAACCTACCAATGGAACAGGGTAAGACTGTACTTTGAGCTTCTTAGCTTGGTCTAACAGACATCAGGTTCAATCAACATCATCGTCAAATCCAAAAAACAAAAACAAGAATCATCTTTGGATCAAGTCAAGTCACTGCAACAAACTCAAATCCAACCAATCAACTGTGTGGAAATCATACTCTATAGCTTTGCTTATGAGAATTCTTTTGGGTTCTGATTTTCACAGAGAGCTTACGGCACTTTTTCTGAGCTACGGGGTCCCTCAGCTAGTGAATTCAGCGGCGCCTGGGCTCCAGGAATATCGCGTGTTGGCAACACGAGGTCGCTTGCTTTCTACGAGATCCGCTGCGTAGAAGATGTCATGCCTCATGTCTGTGGCCGTGGACTGCAGAAAACGGAAAAAAAGAGGGCAAATTTGGTCACCTTCCTTCCCTGTCCACTCACCTATCCTCACTTCCTGTATGTAAGTTAACCTAGTCCTAACAAAATCACTCTCAAATTTTGATGATTCTGTTTTAAACGTCCTTTTTTTAGTGGAAACCACTGTGGACGTCAAACCAGGGCCAGTGGGAGTGCTGAATCTGTAATTTCTGTATGAGCAACATGAAATGGTACTGCAGGAAACTGCAAGAAAAACACTGAATTTATGGCTAGTTCTGTTGTATTTCTGAAAGGACTGGAAGGCAACATGTGAGAAAACCAGCACTTCACCATCTCCTGCTAAAAAAATCATATACTACCACAAAGGAACAAAAATTTTGATTTTGTTCAGGAACTAACAGATCCTCCACTGCAAACCATCTTTTGTATTTCACCTTCCAGAAGCCAAAGACACATACTTTCACAAAAAAGATCTGCAGGTAATTTGAAAGAAGTTGGATACGATCATGTCTTTGAACTGATGTCTGCTATACACAAAGGGACCATAAGTTCAGGGTATTTCTGACACATTTGCTACATACAGTACTTTACCTGCTTGGCTCACACTCCATTTTGTGGCAAGACAAGGGCATACCGATTGGTTGAGTAATGCACCAATCACAGCAGGGGAAGGCAAATCCTTGAACCTCATTGGGTACTGGCCAACAGCAATGAAAATCCAATAATATTTCATTGGTCAGTGGTTGACACTTGTATGTAAGACATACAGACCAGGAAATGAATATTAAAAAGGAAAGCACTGAGTAGCTTGTGCAGAAATACCCCAAACTTTGCCAATAGCCAAGCGTACATGCATGCATGATTAGCAGTAAGGCATTGTTTTTTCTATCCCCAAAAGCCATAATTACACAAAAATAATCATTACTGAAATTCACAACATCAATTATAATAGATACATGTACCTTACATATAATGCACAATGCAACACAAATCGGTAACCTTACAGGTTCTCACAATAATGATAATAATACAGGACTTTGCAAAATAAATAATGAATTTCAAGATAAAAATAAGTCAATCACAGCCACTTGAACTAACAAGTCTAATTCAAATCCCTCTTCAACATATTTGGTAAAGAAAAATCCACTACAGCAATATGGACACTGATGAATACAATGTTTTCAATTCTTGCTCATGATAATATTCAGGTTAACAACTATCCTTATACTTAGCTTTAAGGCATTATTTATAAGCTCCAACGATCTACTTGTTACACACTAATGACACCACACACACATATATTTACATACATTTCTCTTCATCATTTGCTTAGTCGACGTAAAGTCAGAGAGGAGTACTATTCGAGATGCACGTTTTCTTAAGACTTTTTAGGTAGACTGTGCCATAATGTCTTGGGTACATTCCTGAGCAAAAGGGTGTTTTTTTACTTCAAAAAAGATGTAAAAAGCTTCACTGCAACTGTTTGAAACATCAACATGCAAGAGAAGCTTTACAGAAATCAGGATGTGTACTTTTGGATGTTTACTGTTGCCTGGTGATTACTGTATGCTGAGGCAACACTAATGTGATTTTATGGATGACATCGACATCTACTTCTGCAAAGATTTTGTCCTGTTACAAATGTATCTTTGTCCTTGAATGATAGCCAGTGATCAACAACAATGCTTGCACCATGATAACAAGTTGAGTCTTGAGAAGTCACAGTCAGCTCCTTATAAAATCAATCACAAAATGTGACATGTCACAAAACCTTCCGAAATGAGAACACATGATCTAGAATGTCTTCTGAAAGAACAAGCCAAATCTTGACTCTTGTATCAGATTTGAGGTGTCTAGAAGATGTCATCCATAAAATCATTTCAGTGCTGCCTGCCCAGTGTTTGTGAAACTTAATGTGAAACTTATAAAGCTATAGAGTGTGTAAGAATGAATCACTTCCTGCCCTGCCCTGAAGACTGTGCATCTGGCACCATGGCATACAGCTCCATGAGATGTGGGGACAGCTCCGAACCGTAGTAGCCTGGCACAGGCTGGTGGGGGGCCTCTAGTCTCTCCATTTGCTGTGGGTAGTACTGGAACCCCAGGAACGACGGCTGGTAGAACACTGGCCCTGATCCGAACACCGCACTGTTCACCATCCCCAACCCCGACTGCTGCTGCCCCATTCCTGATCCAAACCCTACATGGCTGGACATGCGGCCCATTGATGTTGGGTCACTCTCAGACGTGAAACTAAACCCTGCTCCACTCACTACACTCTGCTGTATGGCGTTCTGACTGCCGTACACAGAACTCATGCTTTCTTCCACAGACCCGTAGCTCCTTCTGCCTGATCTGCTAGACCCTACCTCCCTATATCTTGCACTTGATGGCTCCATACTACTAGGAACCATCATGTTATCCCAACCCCCCATTGCATCTGACTGGAAATTAGTAGTAGCAGGTCTCAGCGGACCGCCAGTTTTCGTGAACCCCGTCGCTCCATTGCTACTTAACGTCTGCTCCGAGGTTGACCTTGGGACTACGTGACCTTGACCCTGCGTCCTTACCAGGCGAGACCGCACCCTCCTTGGAAGGTCTTCGTCTTCGGTGTAGACGTCTTCCCTCTTGACGGTGAGCTGGGACCCGTCTTCGAACTCGACCTGGTACATGGTGACTGTGCTGTAGCCGACAAACACAGCGTTGTACAGGATCCCATCTGTCCAACGCACCTGGAGGGAGTAACACAGCAACAAGTTAGGTCAGAAATATTTCATATCATGTATAATGACAATGGCAATGATGTTTAATTGCACATTCATGCCCATGTGGACAAAATGCATTGCATGCAGTTTAACATAATATTAATTCAATGATCCCTTCAACTTGAACAAGTTCATTATTTTCAAGTTCATTATTTTCATGAAGGGATCAAGTATTTGTAATCACAGTAAGTTTCTGGATAATATCTTTGAGACCATTGCTTTGATCTGATTCCAGTATCTAACATTATTATGGCTGACAGCATTTAAAGGCTATCAAAATCAAAATCAAGATCAGGTGTTTGGTTATGCTTCACAGAATCACACACCTTTACAGTGATACGTATTAATAGAAGAGGACTGAGACTTGCCAACTCTAAAAAAAAAAGCTTCAAATTTTTAGGGGAAGCCAGCAAAACAAACACTAGTTTTCTGGTTTTGCCTGCATGTTTTTTTTGTGTTGGCAATTACTGCATGATGTGCTTCTTTTTATGTGAAAAAAAAAAAAAATAAAAACTCACCGTGACGGGCGTGCCCTCCATGGGCGGGCCGTCCCTCTCACAGTTGTGGCTCTCGATGTCCTGCGGGAACAGGTTGTTGCTGTATGACCCGTCGTCAAAGTTCACCTCGAAGAACGTCTGAGAGGTCAGCCCAATCACCTGGCACTGGTAGTACCTAGGGAAGAAAGAAACAAGATATTTACTCATTCTTTCACTGATTCATTCATACATTCACAACAAAGTAATTATTCAGTAAGCTGAGGTAATTATTCAGTAAGCTGAGGTTGATATTCTAACTGTCTTCAGTATCTGTAAAAGCCAACTGGCCCTGAAAAAAAATTTGATCTATTATCAATATTTCTGTTTTATTTATCCATCAAGCCGTGCATTGCAGTGCAAGCACATCTAACCCTCGGAAGATGGGGAACAACTGACACTAAACCGGATTGTGAGGGAGGGAGGGTGGCTCATCTCTGTGGCATGGCAGTTTTACAGTGGGTCTCTGGATATGCATAAATCAACAAGATAAAGATGTTCACTATCACTATCTTACCTGACGTGTTGGCCATCAAGCTTGGCCATGAGGTGTCCTGTCAAAGGGCTGTTAGAAGTGTGATGTAATCAGGCTAAATAAGTCCAACTCACCGTCCATTCTTGTGTTTAGCGATGACGCTCTGTCCCACGCTGATGTCGGTGAGCGGGCGATTCCGCGCGCGTTCCCTGTTGCACGTGTGGCGCTGGCAAATCACGTAGACGGAAAACGGCCAGTCTCCCGGCTCCATGGCCATGCCGGCCGCGTGCGCGCACGTGACGTGGAAGGAGAGCGCACACTTGCCTGCCGAGCACTGGATACACGCCCCCATGTTCACTCCCTTCTTCATGATCTTCTTGCAGTAACAACATTTCTGGAAACATAAAATTTGAGAATTAAATCGTGTTCTTCAAATGCCTAAGCTTCATGTTAGGTTCTAATCATGTTATCTATTTAACAAAAACTAGTTACACAACACGTCTTTTGTTTGTTAACAGAATCACCTGTATGTTATTTATAAAATCTTTTAATGGGGTGCACATCGGTATAAATATAAGTGTCCAAATTTGGCAAAAGACCTGGATCAAGATCTTTAAGGTTACCAACATAAAACAATTCAACTTGCAGAATCCTTTACTTAAAACCTCAGTTGTACCTTGGTACGGTTAACTGAGTTTTTGCCAGTGTACACTGACCTCTTACTGAATTTTTTTGCTGACATGTCGACACAAAACCAAGGTTGGTAAGGCTTTATCTACGAAAACAAAGCTCAGAAACTCACCAATCTGATCCTGGCGTTGGGCACTTTGCTGATGTTGATGGGCCCTCTGGCCTGGACTGACTCAAACGACACCTCCTGTACCGCGATGGCACAGATGATGTGGGCCCATCTCCCCGTCGTGGTGGGCTTCAGGGCTCCTCCTCGCATCACACACAGGCAGCATTGCTGGGGATAGACAGGAAGAAATCTTTTAATACATGTGCCGAATGTACAAAGGGTGATAAAGAAAACATAGTAGGCACTAAGAGATGAGGAGAAAATTGTTCAGGGCTCCTCCCCGCATCACACACAGGCAACATTGTTGCGGATAGACAGGAAAAAATCCTTTAATACATTTGTACATGTACTGAATAGACATGCTCAACAAAGGGTGATAAGAGAAAACATAGTAGGCACTAGGGGATGAGGAGAAAATTGTTCAGGGCTCCTCTTGGAACATTACACACAGGCAAGATTGCTGGGGATATACAGGAAGGGTTCATTTAGTACTTGAATAGAGTTATACAGTGGGAAAGGACAATGTGGAGGTGTGAAAAGGGAAAACAGATACACTGGGGATGAAGACAAAATGACATTACTGACATTACATATAGACAACATTGCTGGGAGTAACACAGTCTTATGTCATGTACATGTAAGTGGATATTACGATAAATTGATGACTCTATTCTGAACCTCCAATGTACATTAAAATGTTATAAGTACAAGTCCTGGTTGCTTTTGAAAACTCAGGAACTTTTCAGCCCAAAATACTCCTGGGGCTACTTTAATCAATAGAATGTTAAAACAAATGATGAACTTGAACATGATTTTTGAGAAAGGTGTTTCCTTACCGCATCCCAGGCTTCTGCCTCACACCTGCTGCAGGTCCAGTGTCCAGAGTGCAGCTCAGGGTCAGACACTCCGTAACAGCCTGCAGGACAAGGATGCAGTGGGTCAGATCAATACTTGTACAGACACAGAGTACATCAGTATCACTCTGTCAAAATTTGAACATGCATACGTTGAGTAACTGGTGATTGGTAAATGTATGAGTCTATGACTAGGTTTGTATAAACTGTGTTGCATCATCATGTGGCACTGGAAGAGGATTAACATTCATCTGACTAGTAACAGTTGATTTCCAGCCTAAAATACAACAACACTGAATGGCATGAACAACATGAAAAACATCTATTTTCTTGTACCTCAACCCTCCAGACTAAATTTTTAGCTTAGGAGCGCATGCGCTCCTAGCCTCAAAAAGTTAGGCGCGCAGGCAAACATTTGGGCGCGCAAACAAAAAATCTGGTCGCGCAAAGTACTTTTTAATTTAGAAGCCAAGACAATAATGTACCTAAGCAGACAATTAATAATTCTTTCATTATCATAGAAAAAAAATCTAAATTCACCATTTGTACTAAAAGAATTGTGATAAATGAAAGACCAAACAATGATTTTAAAAGTAACTGTCTTTAATGTGTTCAAAGTCACTTCATCTCAGTCGTTAGACCAGGCTGACTGATATGTCGGTCTCCTAGGCCTCTGCAGGGTTGGACAAGTTTTCTAAAATCCAACCCTATTGGGCAAGTGCATGGTCATTTTCACTTGCCCGAACCAACTTTTCACTTGCCCAAAATATAAATGACATATATCTATGCATTTATCATTGCAACAATGAAATCCTTTTATTTTTTGGGAAAAAAAAACACTTAACAGATAACAATATTAACATTGCTACTCAAACCATTTTGTTAACATTAAACTTAAAGGTACAGGTTTTCCACAACAATGAAGACAATCTTCTTTATTTTTTACAACTTTTCAGGTATTACACTACATGTCTGAAGTAGTTTCATTGACAAAAATAATTCATAAAAAAATAAAAGACAATAAAAAAAGCTCATGGAAAAAGGACAGAGTAGAAAACAAGGGGAAGAATCTATTTGGAATTGCCTATAATTATTTAATAATAATGCTACACAAATGTCTAAATACCTTGAGTTGAAACTTTGCTATTAATATTAATTATTTCTTCAACTGTATCAAAACAATCTACAACTTAGTTTCAGTTGACCTTTGAACAAATGAAAAGTCTGCACAACAGCGATCTGCCCAAGTTTTCCTTAGAGGAGTTCTAGTAGAAAATCATATCAGTCACGCATTGCCAAACTTCCCTATCCCGCACGCTCCTGGGCCATGAGGGAGGATCTCTTTTCAAACACAAACTTTGCCAACAATCAAATATTTGTGGCTGATAAAGATATTTATCTCCTTGGTTTCCCCCCAAATTTAGGCCAGATGGAAACATCGTGTATGACTACCGGTCGCGCTAGGTCCACTGCACTACACTGCACTGCACAAGTTTTGAAGGCGAGATCTCGTCACCTGACCCCTCTAATGGTATAAGGATATCAAGTCTCGCGAGAGTCGGGCCGCGAGTGCACACCAAATGAAAACAAGATGGCGACCCGGTTGTGTCGGGTTTGTTTTTTCGCCGGAAAATAGCTGTTTTGCCGCTTTATTTGCCGAGATAATGGTATCTACGGACTTGTAATGGGTTTTCTGACAAATGAACATGATTTTGCCTGGCATTGATATGACATTCTTACGGGAAAAAATAAGAAATTTTTGCCTCTAACAGCGCTATAGCCAATAATTTAGGCGCACCGCGGATTCTCTGCCGGTCGCGCAGTGCGCGACCAGAGTAACAAGTTTAGTCGCATTTCTTAATTTTTGGTCGCATATGCGACCAAAACGGTCGCAGTCTGGAGGGTTGTACCTGTACGTGTAAGCCAGAACACACACACAAAAAAAATATTGCCACTCACTTGCGTGGACCTGTAGGCTGCAGTGCTGACACTTGAGCACAGCGCTCCTGAGGTTGGCGTCGATGAGGGGGTTAGAGTCCAGCGGAGACGGGCTGACGGAGCACGCCGCGAAGCACAGCTCCGGGATCAGTACCAGGCTACGGGCAGCGTAACCCACCGGCCGCGGCAGCCGACAGGTGTAGGGGTTGGTGCCAGAGGGAGCATCAGGGTGCACCTGTACACAGGGATAGATCATGTATGAGATTTGAACACAGGACGTTTACATTAAGTCAACAATATATATGGCCTCCTTCAGTCAATGTTGACCATGGTGAAATCCTAATTGATAACAGCTCTACAGCTTCGACTATGACTGAGCAGTCCTATACGAGAATGACAGTCTCTACCACATAAGGTACATATTATCTACTACAGCTTCTGAAAAATGATTCTAGTATTTAACAATAGGTAACACATTACTGTCTCCAAAAAGAAAATAGGGACATGTTTTGTAAGCTATTTCTCACTGTACAGACAGAACATCATAAAAGAACTTGTTCATACATGGACTGAACTGTTTTTCTTTGAATTATTGAACATTTTGAACCTCTATTGCTTTTGTAAACTTCTGTTCTTATTGTGATGTCCTAGACTGAAAGACTACACAAATCTCACCGTATTGTATGGCTTGAAGAGTGCGCAGACAGCACAGTAAGGGTCCAGTTTAGCCATCTTATCGTTGTGCATCTTCTCCAGAGGGAAGTTGGGAGGGCTGGACACCCACAGGCCAGCCATGGACTGCATCCAGGTGTCAAGGCTCTCCTCTATACCGAAGGGAAGGTCTGGAAAAATTGTAACATTCAGATTTTAAACATACATGTAAGCATTAACAATCTCAATGGAAGATGTGAAACGCTTACCACTTGTCCAGACTCTACTCTATACCAAAGGGCAGGTCTGGATAGAGCACAATACCTTGAGTTGACAATTGCCTGGAAACTACCGCAATGTGGTACTGCAAGGTAGAATCACTGAATCACGTGCACTAAAATTTTCTTGAGAGAAAGGTTCCATACCATCTTATTTACTGCATTATTAACATTGTGCTGTTAAGAATGTCTACAGGTTTCTAAAGCAAAGTTATGAAAATATTCTAATCATCTATACGCCTTTCCCAAGGCGTTACCTTCATTACTTTGTATCATAAATTCTTCCTCCTTTTCTCAACCTTACCTTCATCACTGCTCTCCTGCTTGGTGACTGAAGTTGGTGACTTGGGTGGAGCCTTACTGATGGGATGCCTCCGTAAGGGTTTACTCATCTTCTTAATCACCGGGATGCCTAACGTAGAGGAGCTCTGTGATGCCTGCCACTCTGTCTGCCCTGACGCCGAGATTTCCACGATGTTGACAATCTCATTGTCACTAACCAGCGTGGGCATTTCTGGCTCCTTGCTGGGGGTCGTTGCACCGTTGCCGGCGCAGAGCTTCTTTCTGGGGGGTTCTGGGGAAGGAAGGGGGTCTTCTCGCTTCAGGAAGGGGGGTAGTCTCTCTTCTGGCTTCAGGACTGGAGGGCTTCTGCTGTGGGGAAAAGTCACAGACAGGGATTCTGTTACAAACATATGTTTTAAAGCAAATGCAGACTTTCCTCAAATACATTTACGTATGGTGGTAGAGAATTTCAGACAACTTGTGCAAATGTTATGAAAGCCAGTAAAGATGCAGTTGCTATAACAGGGTTTAATTTAAGGATAAATCAAACAGGATTGATATAGAAACTAAGTAGAATTCTTCTAACAGCAAAATTGTTGGGCTTTTTCACAACTTACTTCATGATCTCACTGTCTCTACTCTACCCTGTAAATCAGTGTTGCTATCACCCTGCAGATGAATTTTCCCATGTGGCAATATCATAATTATGATTAACAGACTCCAACTAACAACAATCTCTCAATTTTCTCAATAAACCAGTCTATCTAAGTGTCTGCTTGATAAGTGACTACTCACTCCTCCTGTGACTCCACCTTGACCTGGCTAGTCTTGGCAGTGAGAATGAGTTTCTCACTGCTGATGACAGGCTGTGGTCTGGTCGGGAAGTCATCTTCTGGCTCCTGCTTCACCCTCACTAGTTCTGGAAGACAGAAAAACAACGTTAGTCTTCAAGTTACAACAAAAAATGAATCAAGCAACTGAATAATTTCTTTGAGATCAGACATTTCAGACAGTATCTGCAGCTATCAACGACTGAGAGTGTTGATTTGTATGGTACAAGTCTTGTGTTATGTTCTACCTAGATGTCTAACTTTCTAAATATCATATGCCAAAAAGCAGTTACTCAAGCAACTGGATATGATTTTCCAAAATTATAACCAGTTGCTTGAGTGACTGCTTTTTGGCGTATCATATTACCTGGATGTCTAACCTTCATCAACGTTTCGAAATATCAGTCTTCACCTTTTCTGTCAATATGATGTGATAGTCTTGTTATCAGTCTAAAAGGCAAGGTTAAGTGTTGAAAACTGTATCTAATATCACAGTCATTGTTTGGGTGAAGTTTCTGTCAGTTTGAAAAAATGAATGGTTTTGAATGATGAATTTACACTCGAGTTGGGTGCCTTTCCCAAGGCCTGCTAGGGATTCAAACCCAGAACCTTAGGATTCCAAATCAACAACCCTAACCACAAGACTACACAATCTCTTACTGTATCTCTATGTAATACAAAATAAGCCAAGCAACAGTCTATTAATTCTCTGAAAAGTCAGAGGTTTCACATCTTTCATCAGCGACTGAGACTGTCAGTCAGTGATGAAAGATAGTGGACGCTGTCTGAATCCCTCGCAGGTTCCAATTTTGTGTGGACTGCTATTGTTGATGTGTTCACTTCTCCTCACCAGTCTTCTGCGCAGGTTTGTCCTTGTTGATCTGCTCCAGCTCCTCCTGGATGGTGGGTAACCTCTCCGGCACCAGGGCTGGTGGCACATCTTCCTCTGTCTTCACTTCCACCTTCACCTCAGCTGACGTCTTGGTTTCCTCCTTACCTGTCTTCTTGGGACGGCCACGCTTCTTAGGTGCATTGGGATCTAAGATAAACAGAGAAACGTGAAGTGGAGACATGTAAGATTCAAGAAATGAGAGATGGCTATCTGTGAGTTGAAATTATAGTGATGTGTTCTACAACAGAGTACTGGCTATGAGAGCATGTTTCACAGGTCTTTGTTGGTTGGTGTTTACACAATTACTTTAACACTGATTTTTCTTGAGGGTTTGTTCTGACCTTTTCGTAACTGATTAAGCTGTTTGGCTACCAATTCTCTGCTGGTTACAGAATTAGGCAGCAGGGAGAAGGTTAGAAACTCTTTGACATTGCAGGATACAGCCACAAACGTTTGAAGATTTATTTTTTCAATTTGGAATCAGCTTTTAATATTTCACACCAGGGATCGTATCCCTACTAAAAAATACGTTAAACTTTGTAGGCTTGAAGGTAACATTATGATTCTTTTTACCCTTTGATTTGCAGTCCTTATCAGTGTGTGTGATGGGATGTCTGCGCGCCGCGGTTGTCCCCACGTTTTTGCGCTTCCTCTGGTCGTTGTTTGGGCTGACTCTCTTCCCCAGGGACTCGTGGCTGTGGGAGGGGCGGTGGGCACCGTCCACGTCAGGGATGTAGATAACCTGGGAGTGATAAATACATACAGACATGATAAATATACATAACACGGAGTTCAAAATAACACTGACTGTGATAACTGATTACTGACTATGCAGATAATTGCAGGTAAAATTGGAGTTGTGCCAACTATTTCTGATGTCTATCTGCACCTAACCTGCACTAGTTACTGTATGTAGTGTACTTGGTACTTGGTATATCTGCGTCGATTTATGTTTGCTGTACTGATGGCTATGTGAAATGTTACATAGTATAAGTATTGAAATGGTCTCAAAACAGTTGCCAGTTTGACCCATTCATAGAGCCAGTTTATAGAATAGACCCATTCGACTTTCACGGATCGCATAAACTGCTTACGTCACAGGGGGGACATTTTGACTAGAAATATACGTCACAGGGGGGACATTTCGAAAGTTCCTTTCATGGATCGCATAAACTGCACACGTCACAGAACAAAATAACCTTAAATTGTTGTACGGAATGCCACCATACAATGTTGGTGCCTGTTTTCCTGTCATTTCCGCATATATTACCAAGAAAATAGACGCTTACCTACCTTTTAGTAAAAAAATGATATGCCAGGGGGGACACCGCGAGCGCAAGCCACGTTCGATTTCAGTGTTCTAGAACGACGTTCTTTCGAAATGTCCCCCCTGTGACGAAAGCAGTTTATGCGATCCATGAAAGTCGAATGGGTCTATTTCCAGGAACTTTTCTGACAGAGGTGTACAGGTATAATTTGTCTGGTGTAGGTTTTTTTCTCATGCTACCATTTAGTACATGCACCAGTGACAGGTATGCAGAAAAAAGGAGTTTGAGCCCTGCATACGTGATGATTACAAATTTTTGGCAACCATGCAGTGACCTCCTAGCTGCAACACTAACACCACTACTGACCTGTTTGCCAGACTTCCACTGGTCATACTGGTCTGGCTGGAAGTTCTTGACAAAGGTGTCCATGTTGATCTTGACTCCATCTTTCCGGCAGGCACACTGAGGAAACAAAAAAAAAGAACATGTAAATTTCAGAATCTAAGGACTCGAAATTGACTTGAAATTGATAGGTATTGGGTTCCAAACCCAATTTGATGTTCGTCTGACTAGTATGTCACAGGAAATAGTTGTAGTTGTCATTTGAAAGAACATGCTCCCATCTTCATGGATTCTTAGTTTTTGTCATTCATATATATTGTAGCTCTGAAATGTTTAAGAACGGAACAGATCTTCCAAATACAGTGACCAGTTGTACAATGTACATGTATTTGATTCTCTATTCTATAGCAGAAAACACCTGTTATCTGAAGGACAATCTTTAAACGATTCGACAGCAAATTTGTCTCAATATTCACTCTCTAACTCTGTGTGCCAATCCCCTCAGACCTTGTTTTCATAGAAAAAGTGAACTTCCTGTTGTCCTATGTTGTAAAATCAGGATGACCTATGAATGAACCATCCTTCAGTAGACCTTCCCCTTTTATATAAGAGTGGGCGTTGCCCTTCTCTGGTGAATTAAAAGTGGGTGTGGTCATTAAAAGTGGGCGTGGCCTGAGGATTGTTGGCTATCGTGTCCTTGCAGGGGGTCAAGCATTTCCCCCACCACAAACAACTTCTTCAACTGACCACTCAAGAACTATAACCACAACAAACACACCAACCACAAGAGGAACCCATCCCAGGGCTCGAAATACTGGGTGCATGTGCACCTTAGTGCACCCAACTTTGGAGCTTCCACCGAATTTTTTTTCTGTGGGTGCACGGGTGCAGCCAAAACTTTTTGTAGGTATATTTGTATATACTAAATGTATAATAGTATACAGGATTTTCTTGGCATCTAAGTGTCAGAAAAATAATAAAATCTTTGTTGTAGTACTTGTTTAAGATTTTGAAGTTAACTCCCATTTCAGATTCAAGCTTAGAAGAGGAGCAGTAAGATCTGTAATTACTATGTGTAATATGTAGGTTTTGTTTTATATGGTGCACCCAAACATTTTTTGTGGACCTAATTTTTTAGGCTGGGTGCACCCCTGCACCTATTCACAAAAAGGAATTTCAAGCCCTGCATCCTAATTCCGCATCCCCAAAACAAAGGAGTTTCCTAATATAGCTCGGACGGGGACATATTTTTAGGGGTGATGTCACGGAAATAGAAGCACGAGTGTATCATCGCTGGAAATCTCCCCTAATCCCCAACCCTACACTTTGTCATCACCAGCATTAAACTGTGTCACCGGCTAATGCTTGTTTATATGTTACATCATCGCGGCTATCGTTTTCTCTCAGGTGTTGATTTATGTTCTAGTGGCTGTGAAAAAAGACAGAGTGTGTGATAATTGATAATCAACAGAAAAATTGCAACAAACTTCTCCAATATCCTTACTTTACCTAATAGCTATTCTGGTGACCTACTTTTCTTGCACAGTATCCAGACGTTTTTCACCTGTATAAGGAAGCGCCACATACATTGTACATCGTACACATAGCAGCGAGATGCAGAACTCAAGTCAGAAGTTCTGAAGAAGGTGTCTGATAGACATCGAAATGTAAGCACTTACATGTATAGGTGAGGAATTTTGGTAGTGTAGAAGAAAACTCCTATATCGTATAAGGAAGGTATTTCCTCATTAAGACTAAAAACTTAAGACACAAGAATAAGACAGCATGTTTATATTTTTAGGCATCCTTTGACAAAAATCTCTTCCAAGCCCTCTCTTCCTCCCTGCCTTCCTTTTTGCTTCAAGTGATTTTCGGCCCGACCAGGTCTTGAGCTGTGCAGAAAAAAGCACCTGCCCAAGCAGAGAGTAAACAGGGACACACTTGCCAAGTTCCCTTCACAACGACAAACAGACTAAACAAACAGGAAAGCACTTTGTTTCCTGGTATGTCTGAGAAATACAACTGACTGGCTGGTAAAACACCTGTCCTACAAGCAAAAATACAGTGTTTCTACTGCCTAGAAGTGCTTATTTTGAATTGTTCAGCACTTTATACATTGGTAGCAAGATCTAACTTTATACATTGGTAACAAGATCTAACATTGAATTAGAAATAAGTGCAGAGAGATTTTTTGTCCAGAAACAAAAGAGTTATCCTCCTAAAGCATTCTGTAGTAACACTAACAGTGCAGCAAACTATTTAGCCATTGAAGAATGGTAAAGGAGCTACTTAAAAAAAGAAGTTACTTTTTTTGCTTCTTAAACTGAAGTTCTTAAAAAAAACTCTTCAGCTATCAGCAAAAATACATAAAATCTGAGGAAGAAAAATCTACAAATGAGTAAGACTTGTAGCTTTTCTCAAGAGCGAACCCTCCACAGAAATGTAGTAAAGACAACTGTTATGTTAAACCTGGTTGACATTGTTTCCAGCCTGTTGTGTTGAGGAGTGGTGGGGGCGGGCGGAAATGTGTGCAGGAGGTGTGAAGTACTCTACTCTTGGGGATGGATCAGGAGATGGGGGGAGTGGGATCATCAGTATAGCAGTATGATAAGTATAACAAATTTAAATTTTGCCATTGGGCTGACTTGAGATGGTAAAGAAGCTGGCAGGTACATGTAAGTATGCAGAGCAACTGAAAGATAAGAGACTTCTACAGACTGGCTACTTAGATCATACCAATTTATTTTCTTGGTTTTCAGACATTTAGCAGGGAAAAAGTTTGTACAAATGTATGTCTAAGAACAAAATAGAGACTTGACTGGGAAGAACTTGATACCTTAGTTCCTGCATGATACTTCATGTAAGTCCAGACTTTCCTGTCAAACTTTCTTTTCATGTTGGTATTCTAGTTTAGCATCCCTACCCATAAAATATTAATCTGGTACAGCCACAACTAAAAGAAGACATCACCCTACTCCCTCCTCCACAGTCATTCCTGGTCCCTCCCCCGCCCCAAACAGGTAACATTACTGGAGTGTTGAAAGTATGTGGCTGAAGTGGCATAGCTGCCGTGCCGAGTTGAGCCACTCTGAACCAACTCAGCATTCCGGGGAAATCCTTCACAACAATGCAGACACTCCTGGTGCAGGGCCACATGACTCGCACCCAGTCATGTGGCAGAAGTACATGTAGGTTGGCAAAGTGTACTGCGACTACAGAAAACCCAGATTTTTCACAGTTTTCGGTTAATGTTGCATCAGAATTTTGCCCATTGTACATGATATCTTTTCCGACACAACATTTGGAAACCATAGACGGAATGTCATTCTTATATACGATCTTAAATAAGACATACTGCTGAAGAACTATCCACAAATTACAAGTTTCATGCAGGCACAGTACATTCTTCTGACATGCTTGTGGCAGGAGTCCAACACAGGACTTCAAGTACCTGACTTTTGGAAAGGAGTTAGTTCTGAACGCCACTTGTACAATAGCTATCCGCTCCTCCTAATTTCAAGTTTCTTACACTGTTAATTTTACTGCACAATAATCATATGGTAAGCTGGTATGTTATGCCGACTGGCAGTTACACTGGCTATACATGTGATAAAGATATACATGTACCTGGTAAATGTATAACATACATATCTAGTATCCCAGTTTTTTTCCAGATGCATATGACTGATACACCAGACCTTAAAATACCTGCATTTCAGGACTGTACCTGTATGAAAAATGTGTAATACTAATAGTTCTTTTCCTATTGTTTTCAATGATAATGGTACTCAGATGTACTGTAGTAGTACCAATGTGTTATAAGTAGGTGGCGTGAAACCATTTTAATTGCATTTCTTCCGGAAATACTTGCCACCTTGAAGAAGTAAGTGATAGTAAACAAGAGATACTACAATTTTCCAGCCAGGAAATTCTACAAAGAAAGCTTTAAAAGATCACAAGCTTTGTACATCCACATGACTTAGAGTTATTCAGGTAGATTTGTGTGTTTTTACAAATATAGGAAATTGAATTTCCTAAATGTTGAAGGAACCACACCTGGATACCAGAGGTTAAGCCACTTGTGCAAGGGTCACAGCTTTGAATCGTTTGATCAGGTAGGAAAAAAGGCAACTTATGGATTTCGTCGGAAATTCGATTTCCGAACACAGGACGAGCGCATAAATCGTTTAGAGTTTCTTACACTGACTGACAGGTGTTAAACGTTATACTAATTTCTGAAGGTCTACAACATCCTGATTTTCTTGTACAGAAGTTCTCAACTACGGTAAAGTTGAATTTGAATATATGGCTAGCAGGCTAAAATAGACAATCCTCTGAACTATATGTACATTTGTTGGGCTCTTCAAAATGTTTCTTTCCTACAAGAAGTATTATCACTCGATCCTCTCCAAAAGGAAAGGCAAAGAAAGTTATGCATCATGTGAGTTATGAGATACATGTACATTTGTTTTTCACTCAACAAGGACAACGTTACTGTTAGAAACATTAAAAACTTTGTGGTCTAACTTATTAGACTTAACATGTCATGATGCTCAATATTTCAAGAAGTTGAACAACCCCTTTACCTGATAGACATGGCACTTCTGGGGCCTCTTTGATGTCTTCAACATTACAATCATGTTTAATAGCCAATCAGGTTACAAAGCACCACACTAAATGAGTTTGTTGACTATTCTCCTTTGGTTGATCACGTCCCTACCAAACTCTTGGTGTGATTTGCAAGTAACATGTTTGATAGTCAACAAGGTTGCCACTTTACACATGAGTTTGTTGACTTTTTATCGTGTGCTGATTTTACAAGAAACCCTTTGGTGCCATGTTGTTCCCTGTACGGTTGGGTGCCCGGCCTGAATGTGCCCCAATCGAATCCTTGACGGCCTATTTTGCGTTGTCCGAGGTGTGTTGCCAAACAAATAACCGTCCTTTGATCAGGAACCTCCCTACACCGAACGCTTGAATCGTTCCGACCACATTCTCTCTTATCTCTCTGTTTCTCCCAAACAGCCTCCCCCCCTCGTATCGGCGCCAGTGCTCTGTTTGTCACACCGACAGGATTGCTTATTTCCGCAAAGGTTATAAAACACGGCCTGACAAAGGGC